AACCCATGTGGAAGTGGCTTTAGCTTCTCAGTGCTGTGCTTTAACCCACTGTGCCACCTGGGAGGGTCCAGAATATGCATTTTTAATGATTCCAAGTAATTAAATGAATTTCCAAATTGATAATTGTTCTAGAATCTGCCCTTCCTTCAGAAGCACTTATTTTAAGTACTTGGAGATAATCAAATTGAGATACATGTAAAACTAACCCCCCAAAAAAAATCCATAATATCAATTTATATTATTTAAATTTATCTTACAGTGTTTGGTGGATTCAAATATATACTTATTCTCTCGACATAATCAAATTGTGTAAACAACCAAATTATTGAAAGTTTTCTTGGCCACTGTGGGATCTTATAAGATACCCAATGGATGTTAAACCATGGGAATAATTTTGTTTTATAGAAAATATTTGAACTCTCTTGACTATTATACCTACTTTCATCTCCATGACAGAAAATTGGAAACATTACGCCAGGAAATCTCCCTCTTAGGGTAGAAATCCCATATTTTGTGCATGACTCATCCTACTTCTTCATCATTCTGATGGGGAACAGAAAGTGATAACCCAGAATACATTTGTTGGGTTTGAGGATTATTTTGAGCTGAATAATTTAAGAAATGCACCATAGGAGAAACATTGAAAATGGACTTAACCTTTCTCAAGAGGCATTCACATTTATAAAGGAGATTACCTGATAAGTCTCCCTGTCTTTGCTGGAGAAAAGACTCTAAATCTCACACACATACACACACACACACACACACACACACACACATACACCTTTATCAAGAAGACAGGAGTGAAAATCTGCCTAACAAAACTTAAACCTTTTACCCTTGTTTTCCTAGTTGTAGCCTCTCATAAGTATATTCAGCTTCCCAACATATTTATTTAATCATTATCTACAGATGCTATTTAAGGGGCAGCTAAGAACATATCAGGAAGTTACTTGGTTTCCTTATATATCACCATAGAATGTTTGATATACCTGCTGTTAAATTTCCTTTTTATTCTCTTGTTAATCTGCTTTTATTACAGCGTGTCACAGTCAAGAAGTGTAGAGGAAATTTCTTTTTCTTCCCATCTACTTCTTTCTTTTAATATTTATAAGTTTGTAACTTTGAGATGTTGCTGACTTCAAACTACTTCCATATCTCCCAAAGAGATTGAACAAAGATAATCTGTGGCGGGTTAAAGCTATAAAGGATAATTTCATTTCTCACAATTAACTGTTGGAGAATTCCCTCATGTTCATGGCAGTAGCTAACTATTGCAGAACATGATTAACATATGCATGGCCAAAAAAAAAAATTTCCCTCTACCATTTTGTGCATTTGTCTGAGACCCATGTAATAAAACACAGGTGATCAAGAGAAAAATGAAAAAGAGCTTAATGACATGTATACCACATTCACAGTGGAAAATGAACAACTCTCCAAAGAGACACAATTCAGACTTAATACTGTCTTAATAAGAAAAGTAGAGACAGGAAGTAAGCCATGTAGGAAAGGTAAATGATTTTTAGAAAGGATTATTTGATCCTAGAAACAAAAGATGGGAGATATGATAATTTGTGACAAAGTTTGTCTGGGTGAGGTGTTGACCTTTAGTCTCCTTTCCTGTGATAACATTCATGTTCACAAGGGAGGGACTCCCAGGACTGGCAAACTTGCATGGTCTAAATGGTTCTGCCACCTGCCACATCAGACAATGCATACTCTTAGAGTGAGAGAACTTTAATAGGAGATTTTGCATAGAGTGAAGATAATTATTTCCAATAAAACACCAAAAGTTACTCATCTCCACATGGGTAAATACCCACCCAAACAAGGTTGGTCCAAAGTGGGGCAGCTGAGACCCAAAAGCTTGCCTCAAAGTGAAGGAACTTTCTCATAAGGAGCCATAGGAAAGAAGGGCCTAAGGAGCCAATAAAGTTTGAGATGAAAAGGAACAAAATCACTGTAAGTCAAGACAACAGCTGCGATTGTCAGCTTCCCCACGGGTCCCTCACCTTGCTTCCAAGTATCTCCTCATGTCTTGACTCCAGGTGTCACCTCCCTTGTTCTCCCTGTTAAGTCCATGGTGCAGTTCCACGCTCAGAAAAAGGAGTCACATGCATGTGTGCCCTGCTTACCTCTTAAGGCTTTTCCTATGTCTCTTCACTCAGCTCCACCCTTCGTTGTTGGAGCAGAGAACCTGAGACCTCCTCTCTTTATTGAAATTACAGTTAAAGTTAATAGTAAAGCTTTCCTGAGGATGAAACCCCAGGGAGGTGATGACAATTGAGTTCCTTTGGAAGGATCTGTCTTTAGAAAGAGAAGAGGAATCAGAGAAAATTTCTCCTTGTATTTGCTGGTTTACAAGAGTCTTTGCTCAAAATAATCAGTATTCTGGGCCCTCGCTGGTAGCACAGCAGGTTAAAGCACAGCACTAAGAAGCTAAAACCACTTCAGCATGCGATTGATCCCCACCCTGGAGGTGACCCACATGGCGTGGCAGACCTCTCCTGACCCACCCACTGCTCCCCTCAGCAGTGTACTTCATCAGTCAGCCTGTTTTGTTCCCCACTCTGTCTCTTGTGAAGCCTCTCACTGCCCCTGCACCTCTGGCCTGTACCCGAGTTCTGTATGCATAAATAAAAAATAAATCTTTAAGAAAAAAATAATCAATATGCCAAAGTGGCATATTTTAAGATGACATCTTTGGCATTCTTCACAAATCTCAACCGCTTCAACAATGTCTAACTACATTTTTGTCTTTTAAATATAAATTTTGAAATGATGTTCTCACAGAAGCATAACCGAAGTTCTATACTTCTCATCTCAAATGAGAATAACAGATTCCTATAGCACCAACCTCACTAGAATCATCTGAAATCTTTCAGATATAGACGAACCAATTGCATCAAATTTTCTGGGGCTAAGACGTAGTTGTTAACATTTTAAAAAATGCCCTCATGATATTTTGATGTCAAATAAGATGAAGAAGAATATTGCCCAGAGCAAAACTAAAATTTAATTTCCCAAATGGGTAGAAAACTCAGTAAGTCATTCCCTTAGCTTAGCATAATAAAATTGTTAAAATCTCCTCTGGCATTTTTCTAGTCAGGTTATAGGCTACAAAAGATAACTGGACACTTTGATTTATTTTTAAAAAAATAAATTTGTAATTGATTTAGTTCAAAAACATTACAAGAAGATATTTAAAAATTAAGTATAAAAAATTCATTTGCTATTATTAATTGAATCCCATTTCCTTCTAGTAATTATTTGTGTGTAATTCAAATCAGAATCTATATTTGTGATGAAATACATATGTGTATATATGTATGTACTTATATATGTATATATGTTAACTTTATTTTTATCAACAAATAGAAGAATGTTTAAGTGCTCTGTTTTCCTAACTTCAATTATTTGAAGAAGTTTCTAGATGTATAGTGTGAAGTAAAAATATTTGACGCATGTAATATAATTAATTTTGTATTTTACCTAAAATTATTAAAACATTTTCTTATATAAAAATCGAAATAACTTTTTTAAAAGTTCATGTACAAATTTATTAGTATATTCTTTTCTCAAACATCGAACATTATAAGACATATATACATATATAACTATACATATGATATAATATATAATCTTATTATAAATTGTATTGTAAACTTTTATCAATGTTATATACACAGTGATGGCAAGCCAGAAATATCTCCAGGAATGATCGTTATAACTTTTTTATTTTGCCAGGGTTATGGTGGCTATATTGCATCAATGATCTTAAAATCAGATGAAAAGTTTTTTAAATGTGGTACAGTGGTTGCACCCATTACAGACTTAAAGCTGTATGGTAAGTACTACTTCCAGATTGACCTCTTCCAGCATATTGATTTGTAGAAAAGAAAATCCCATTGCAGAGAAGCTCAGTAAACTCTTTTCTCAAACATTATCAGAGATGTTTGCAGCTATTTATCACCTCCCTAAATCAATCAGTTTTACTGGAGCATGACAATTAAGTGTAAAATGTAGAAATTAAAAATGAAATATGCCAGCCAAGTGTTTTTCTGTTTCTTCTCAAATTTCTGTTTTCTTGCACTGCAGCCTCAGCTTTCTCTGAAAGATACCTTGGTATACCATCTAAAGAAGAAAGCACATACCAGGTAAATAACTTAAAAATAATGAAAGGAGCTATGGTTTTTTGTTCAATTTTTTTTTAGAAAAAGGTGAATACTTGTGTGTATTTGTGTATGTGTAATATATACATATATGTGTATGTATATATGTGTATATATGTATAAATATATATGTAGACATCCATAGACATATATGTGCATAATATATATGTGTATGAATGTTGGTGTTTTCTTTTATAGGCATCCAGTGTGCTACATAATATTCATGGCTTAAAAGAAGAAAATATATTAATAATTCACGGGACTGCTGACAGTGAGTATTATATTTGTTGCTACTGATTGATGGGGTCTATCCTTCAACAAAGGAGTACATCTAAAGAATTGCTTAGAGGGGACCCTGTAATTCTGAACAAGAGACCAGAGAGCAGTGGAATGAAGTATATGCCATATGATAAGAAGTGGGAAGAATGATGGGACTAGTGAGGAAAGACACAATTATCCTCAACAGCAACACTATCCAATGAAACTTTTTGGAATGATGGAAATGTTCTTTATCTATGCCACATGTGATTCTTGGGCACTTGAAATACATTTAATATGATCGAGGAGCTGGATTTTTCATTTTATTTTGTTTAAATTAATTTAAATGTAACACATGTGGCAAGTAAATGCCGCTATGGTGTTATCTAGCACATGGCAAATGGAAATTAATCTGGAAAACTACAGGATCCCTAAATGGTGCTGACACTTCATTGACATTCTAATGCTGCTCACTTTTAGTTAAAACAAAAACTTTTAAAAAGCAGTTTTTTACCACCTCTCATTTCTTCATCACTTTGAACTTTGGAGATTGATGTGAATGATATTTCTAGTAATAAATAATATCATTTTACATCCACTATAAGTATTTAGGGCTCAAAGAATTCATATTTTTTTATTATTCTATGTGATACTTTACAACAGAGGACTGAGTATTTATAGCCCCATTCACAAATGAGAAAAATCCATTTCAAGGAGAAAACTGATTTATCCAAGGCTACCTGCAAGTGAGCAGAGAGTCAAAGCATTGAATCAATATTTCTTAAGTCCTGACTAGTTTTTGTTGGACCATCCTGCCTATCTCAGTTGTTGTTGTTTTTTAATCTCATTTTACTAAGAGCAGCCCTAAAAAGTTCAACTATCAAAGATTATACCAGCTCTAATTGTACTTTCAAACATGTAAGGCCATTGTTAAATTAGAGCTCAGATCAATACTGACATATATTTAAATAAGCTGGGGGAGAAGAAATAAATCTTCCTTTGGTAGATTTCAAAATAATTTATGTCTATACTCCCCTGCAAGGAGGCAAAGCTTAACTCTCCTCCCTTCTCTCCCATTCTAAAGTGGGTTTCACTAAGTTATTTGCTTCAAGAGTTCTGTATAAAAAATATAAGGAAGAAAGTATAATTTACCACAGAGAAAGCTGACAAACAGTGCCTCAGCCAGGTGATCAAGGTTAACCTCAATGGTGACAAGTCACACTGATAGCAGGCTCCTTGACATGCTTTCCCAAACACAGCACTCTATCATCTTGTGCCCAAAGCCCATAATTCTAGTCTAACAATTAAAAAAAAAAAAAAAAGATAATCCAAAAGATAGAACATTCATCACATATCTGACAGGGGTCCCTCAGAACTGTCAGATTTTGATGTTAAAGCCATCAAAATCAAAAATTATGAAAAGTTCTTATAGAACAGAAAAGGTTAATGTTGTCCAAATGTTTCCTAGATTCCTATAAGTGCTGCACAAGAGCAAAGTACAAACTGCCAACTAGCCCTAGTGCAAGAGCGGAGTCATCACAGGACAAGCATTTAGGGAGCTCCTTCCCCTCTTTATCTAACATTACTTGAAAGGAATGCAACTGAGACCGCAACTGAAAAAGGCATTATGCTGCCAGAAAAATTTCCAAGAAATATCTAACTCCAGGAAATACATCTCTGAGAAATGCATTGCAAACAATAGTAATAGCTGTTGGATTGGGCTTCAAAGGAAAGATGGAAAGATTCAAGCAGTTTGTTTGGAAGTTTCAAATGAAGTTCTCCCTGAATACAAAGGTAGCGAAGTCATTCTCAACAAAGGTCATTTCCTAGTTTGAGGCAGTGACATTCTTGAAAAGTAAGCAGACTTTCATTACGTGAAGTTGTGTATTCTGCTGTCTTTAGAAATCTGCCATCATGCAAATAATTACCGTGTCTCTCTTTTATAATAAAATTATGATATCCAAAGATGATCATGATAACTAAAGGTTATTGACTTGCAACAAATGTATAGTAATACTGCAAAGTGTTGAGGGAAAACTAGGTAAGATAAGTGTAGGAATGCTTTGTAATATCTTTTTAATTTTTCTGAAAATCTGTAACTACTATTAAAAAGTAGGTGATACCATGCCAACATTGGGTAAAACATGGTGAAAGTAATATAGGCCTTTTGAAGGATATTCAAATTTTGTTCTAAGGTACTAGGGTCTCAAATATTAATATTAATAACAAATAACAAGTATTAAGTACTGGCTGTCAGAAAGTGTGCAAAATCTTAATATGTTATCTGTTTTCATAAAAATACTGTATATAGGTATAACTTTTTATTTAACAGGCTGGGAAAATAAATATTATGGAGTTAATATACCTTGCCAAAATTATATAACCACTGACTTGTTGAAAGAGAATTTGAATCTGACATCATAGCTCTTATTCTGAAGCCTCATTTGTGGGATTATATTATATTCAAAGCTAAGTTATCTAAAATGAAGTTATCACCCTCAAATATACTCTTGCTGTTTGAATTTCTTGTCAGTACATTGTAGTTAGTAAGTCAAACTATATTGCTCCTATTTGACCAAAGTATGGACCTAGTGCTTCACCTACCTGATAAAATATGAACAGATTTTCAACACTGGTGATGTTAAAATGCGTGTTCATGCATGCACACATAAACACACACACAGGCCTAGTGCATCATAGATGTTCAGTCAACTGTATCATAATACTATCTCTGTTAATATTATCATCAAAGTTACCAGCTAATCAGTTTATTCAGCCACTAAGACCTTTGATACCGCTATTTAGTTTTAGGAAATGGACAAATGACAAAGAAATAATGAAATCATTTTACTCTGTTGTCCTGCAATATACAAAATGAGCTATATAAGAGATCATTTCTCCCCACATTGCTCCTATTTATTAGAATTTCTAGTAGCTGACATTTACAGAGCAATTTGTAAAATTACTGGAGATGATACAATAATTTTCCATTTAAGTACAATAGAAAGATGTTTAAAAAGACCTTGGGTCTATTCTCAAGTTTTAAATGATAACTTAGAATTAAATGTTTAAATATTTGTAATGATTTAAGGTAGCTTTTTTAATTGAGGTAACACTGTTTTATAAAATTAAATTAGGTTCACGTATATAGCTTTATAATTGACACCTGTGTACATTACATTTCATCAACACCAAAAGTCTAGTTTCCATCCACTACCATAAAATTGACCCCCTTTATTCCTTTTACTCACCACCTCACTTTCTTCTTCTGACCCCTGGTAAGCACCATTCTGTTGTCAGAATCAACAAGTTTGTTTCTGTTCTGTTTTTTTTTTTTTCCATTGTCCATATGAGTCAAAAGTATATGGCATTTGTTTATTCCTCTCTGACTTATAATTTTCTTATAATTTTCACAAAGTTCATCTATGTTGTTACAAATGGCAATACATAATATTTTTTATTGCTCATCAGTAGCCTTTCCTTGTGTGCATATATCACTTCTTATTAATCCATTTTTCTGCTGATGAGAACTGATGATGGGCCCTGTGAATTAATGGAATTAATGGAATCACTGTCTGATATGTAGTGAGACTGATTAGAATTAAGTAGAATTAGAGCAATAGATAATTTTAAACAATTGACAAGACATAGTTTTACAAAGATAGTTTTAAAAGTTAGCCCAAAAATTACTTACAGAAATTTGAGCATGTAATAATATAGGAGTGAATAACCCAGCCAGCATATGATGCAAGTGTACAGTGACTTCCCATTGTTAATTAAGGCCAATGCTGCTACACAACCTGGCTTTATGTGCTGCTTATTTCAGATTTTTGAGCCTTAGGTCCAGGCAATAGAAAACTAGAAGGAATCAGGAGAAACCAGTATGATTCACATTAATTATTTAGATCTTGAATAAAATAGAGGGCCGTCCCTGGTGGTGCAGTGGGTTAAAGCACTGCACTAAAAAGCTTAAGCCAATTCCGCATGAGTTCGATCCCCGCCTGCCCGGAGAAGATCCACATGGTGTGGCAGACCTCTCCTGACCTGCCCTGTGTACTTCGTCCATCTGTCTGCTCTGCTCCCCACTCTGTTCCTGGTGAACCCTTTCACCCTCCGCATCTCTGGCCTGTACCTCAGTTCTGTATGAATAAATAAATAAATCTTAAAAATATAAATAAATAAAATAAAATAGAATGCCAGTATTTGAGACTGGGCTCTGGTAATCTTCAGAAAGAAACAGAAAGCTGGATTCCTGTACTACTAATCAGACAGCCATGTAATGCTATGTTAAAATTGTGATAATAGTACGAATTATGTGAGCAATTAGATATAATGGATAATATTCGATAAACTAAATGCCATTCTGTACAATAAGATTTGGTGGTACCTCCTATTTATGTTTCTTTTGTTTCTTTCTTTTTCTTTCAAATTGAGGGTAACCTTGGTTTACTGCACAATATAAGATTTAGGGGAGTAGGTTCACACCTCAGATGTATTCATCACACCACACCCACCCGCAAACCCCACAATTTCTTATCAAAGATCATAGGCCCCCTTTTTTCACACCCCTACCCAGACTCCCTCTCTAGTAGGCTCAATCCTGCAGTCATATTTATAGGTTTTGGTTTTTAGTTCAGTTTTTTCAGTTCATTTGTCGTATTCCTCTATATTCCACATAAGTAAGATCACCTGGTATTTGTCTTTCTCCTTTCCATTTATTTCTTTATATAACGACACTTGAAGTTTTTTCAACTTTGTATCTACTGACTCCCTACTTAAAACCAAGTACCAGTCTTTTAAGTGTATAATGTATGTTAAGTAAAATATGCAATCCCTTTGATAAAAGCAAATACGAATAGGTTCTGATCCTAAAATGTATTTCCTTCAAATATCATAATTTAATTTCTTGCAGCAAAAGTTCATTTCCAACATTCAGCAGAATTAATCAAACACCTAATAAAAGCTGGAGTGAATTATACTATGCAGGTAAGTCACCTTTTTCAGAAGAATGTGCTTTCCTACATTGAATTTTTATTTGCAGTATAGATAGAACATGATTTCTGCACTAGTGTATCCCCCATACAACTAATTTTTTATGGTTTTTTAGTTACCAAAATTTTAGCTTTTTTTTTTTACAATTATACCAAGAACATGGATCAGCTCAGGCTTTATAGTGAATCCAATGCACTGCTTGAAAAAGGTCTTATCTTCTCAGACTTTTTTATTCCTATCACTGATAATGAATCCTTTTAAAAGTTCCTATTTTTCTTTCTTGTCCTTTTCTCTTTCTCTCCCTTCTTATCGCTCTTATCATAAAAAGTAGAGGAAAATGTGTTTTGAGAAAATAAATGTTCCTCAGAAAAGGTTTGAGGAAGAAAGTGACCCTAACATTTTTACCTTCAGCCATGTTTGATAAGTATTTGTCAAGCCTTACCTTACCATGGTCCCATGTCACATCGGCCCATAGGATACACTTTAAACTATCATGAAACTTTCAGACAATTCGGAGGAACGAGTTATTCAAAGAAACAAGGCATCTTAATTGCTTGGTAGTTTGAAGAATCCATAGTAACCCACATATCTAAAATACTAGTTTCAGGAGCAGATGATGAAAAATAAAATGTAAAGATAAACAGAGGGTGGCTGTTGCTATAAACAGTGTAAAGTCTGAAACTTTATTTAGTGGTCAGAGGCACCATTTAAAACCATTCTTTGTAGGAATTAAAATGATAATATTTATAATTGTATTGTAGAAAAACCACTAATCACTTATATTGGAAAGCACATTGCCAGTGTAAAAAATAGAACCAAACAAATTTAAAGTGTTAGTCAAAACTGTTGTTATAGGGGAGACAAAACTCAAGTCTGTGGAAATAAAGAGCTGGAATAGTTTTTAATGGCTGAGTTGGAGGGAAGCAAATGTTGCCTGTGTTAATAATTAGTCTCGCCAAAAGGAAAAGGAAAAGGGAACTTTCTTTTATCTCTATATAGAAGGAAATTCTCTTCTTCATAGAGACTTGGAGATGGGGGTGCTGTCTATATTGAATGTTCAGATTTCAGAGGAATGGTGCCCAAGCCCATGGGAAAGACATTTCCTGGGTTGTAAAACTGACAAGAGTCTATAAGAAGATTTACATACGTCATAAAGGGGCAGAGAAAGAATTTATGTTTGCAAATTTTCTAAAGTAAATGCTCAGGGCTTGTAGTTAGGAAGAAACTGTCTAAAGTTTAGTCAAGCAGAGAGGAATATGAGTGTCCTTGGGTTGACATGACAACAGGAAGTTCTTGATTTTCAGCCAACATACCTCATTTAAATTTAAAAAAATGTGTTTAATCTCAAATGTTGAATATGATTATAATGGAAAAGAAAAATTTGGCATGAAGAACTCAGAGTTGAATTGCTTAGATTTTGGGCAGATATTTTCTAACTTCCTGTGGTATTGGGGATAAAAGAATGATTACTGAAAGTCAAGAACTGCTTTAGCAACTTAGAATCTCCTTGCCTCTCAATGTCTTAGGTCTACCCAGATGAAGGTTATAATGTATCTGAGAAGAGCAAGTACCATCTCTACAGCACAATCCTCAGATTCTTCAGTGAATGTTTAAAGGAAGACATACCGGTGTTACCACAGGAACCAGAAGAAGATGAATAATGGACCCTATTTATATAGAACTGAAGGGGATATTGAGGCTCAATGAAACCGAACCAAGAGACTGTAATATTGTAGATGCTCCAGAATTTCGAGGGCAGCTTAAGGAGATGACAGTGGAACAGCACACTCAGAGACAATGAACTAGAATTTGAATACAGAAGTCGAAATCTACTGCGTTGCCTAGGGTGCAGAATCTCTTTGTGTAAGGAAGGTCAAGGGTTGGTTTCCTGGCAGAAATTAGTTTTGCATTAAAATAGACGTAGTGCATGTTTTCTTCTGTTATCTCCCAATTTGTTCTGTAACTAGTTGCTTTCACTTTGATTTAAATGGCCACCATCATCTTTGCATATAATGCACACCTTATCAGTACTACAGTCCCTGATCTTTGATGGCTGAGCTGCAATCTAACACTTTACTGTACCTTTACAATAAGTGCAATTCCTCATTGTCTATTATTATGCTTAAGGAAGTATTCAGTTAATAAAAACAGAGTATTTTATGTAATTTGTTTATAAAAAGACATCATTAATGGGTCATGTAGAACTATGGATTTCAGCACCTTCCAAAGTCCAGCCAGTTATCAGTAGATACAGTATCTTTAAATCAACACACAAGTGTATGGCTCACAATATATATACACAAGTGTGCATATACAATCAATAAATCTATCTTACATGTTACTCATGCTACAAAGGAAAATTTTAATGGAATTTAAAAAGATACTCTTTTGCAGGCTATAATGGATGCTTTGTTTAATGAGCCAAATGTGAAGAAACTTTTTTTTTCCAACTCAAATCCTAGCTATTGCTTTCCTACAATGTTTGGGTTGTGTTTGGTATTGTTTTAAGTGGTTAATAGTTTTCTAGTTGCAATTTAATTTTTTGAATATGATACCTTGTCACATGTAAATTAGATACTTAAATATTAAATTATAGTTTCTGATAAAGAAATTTTGTTAACAATGCAATGCCACTGAGTGCTATTTTGCTCTTTTGGTGGAAAAGGCTTTTTTAAGACCACTTGATCCCTTAACTTCTACCCTCAATGCAGAATCAATTCTCATTTTCGTAAAAGCAAAGAGCTGGTTTATTTCACTTGCTAGTTCCTGTTTAATATTCTATGTCTGCCCAATTCATCTGTTGCTGTTTAATTTAAATCTTCTGGTGAGAATTAGAAGTGAAATATTTTTTATTCATTGGCCAAAATGTTCACAAACAGCAGTGTTTGCTATTTAATTTGAGTCGAAGTCACCACATGCATTAATTCCTGTGCTGTGTTGACTTGCAGTAGTGAATAAGTTAAATTTGACTGAATAAAGTCAAATTTAAGTCATGGGAATATTAACTTTGGTGACTAAAGATGAAGAGTATCTTCTCCCTTTACTTGAGGGACCTTCCAGAAGATGTGTAAAGATCTATAACTAAGCTTAGAAGTTCTGATAAATGTAGGCAGTAGACTGTGTTTCGTGGTTTTGTAAAATTTCTTAGGACAGACTGGATAATCATAACTTCAGAGGCTGGAAGTCACCAGGAGAAAACTTTAAAATATCATGGAACTACTTAATAGCCCCCATTTTTTGTCAAAGGATCAATCCAAAAATCTGGGAATTTGGAAACATGAATCATTTTTGGGGGTAATCTACTTTTCTACTGGATGCTTTGGAATTGTTTCTTCACTGTTCCAATGGATTCAATTTAATATGGGAAAGGCTCTCTTTTCTGAAAGATAAATTTCAGGTCTTTTTCAAGGATAGCAAACACATTAAAAATAAGTTGTAATGTTTAAAAGGAAAGTTTGCCTATTTTATTAAGATGAAAATTTCTTTTTAGGTTGATTTGAAGCCCAACTGAAGCTTTTTAATCAATATTTTAAATTTCAATGACTAGAGTTTTTTATGATGCAAATTATTATGTTGTCTGAAAGATGTGGTTTTATTGAATGTTTATTTAAGTAACATTTAAAAAGTATTTACCTTTACTGCTCATCATCTCTCTTGTTTTATTATTATCATCAGTGTTTACCAATTTTTCAATTCATTCAATACAGTTTCTAATAGAAAAGACATTTGTCTGGAACCCACTTTCACCTATTTAGAGACAAAAGCAGATCTCAAATGAAGACTACTGTTTAGTAGAAGGGTGGAGAAATTTCTTCTCCATTACTCTTTGTGTTTTAATAATTGGTCCATTGTAGATAAAGGGAGTGCTCACCAACACAAACACCTATTTTTAAAGGACCATATAGCTGGATATACTCCTTTATATTTTAGCCCTTAATCACAGACACACTATTTCAGAAGTACTTATGCATTCTAGCGTTTCCTAAGACTCCATTTGCAAGCTTTCCAAGTGTTATTTCCTCTTTAAAGTAAAAAAGAAAATAAATCACGATATACTAAAATTTTATAAAAGAGGTAAGAAGTATAAAATCATCCATAGAGATACACATGTAAACTTGTGAAGTTATTTTAAGAAGGAAAATATTTTTTCACTTCAATTTCCTTCATTGAGGTCTTTAACTAAAAACAGGGAATAAAGAGACAGCTGATCAGTTTTAGTTTCCTAGAGAACTAAGGGAAGAGGATGCTGTTATAACTTCAATCTCAATTCATTATGAGAATGTGGGACTTGGGTTTTTTGTTTGTTTGTTTGTTTGTTTAGCACAGAAATGAGCATAGAGGGTCTTGGATATGCTCATTGTAAATCTACTGGGCTGAGGTGACTCATACATAGGTTTTTACTAAACAGAGACTCATTTAAAACCATTGTCCTCAAATGGTGGAATTTGAACTACAGGTAACTGGAACTGAATTGCTTTCAAATCTCAAGGTTCAATGAGGGCACAAGACCCCTATAAAGAATCACATTTGCTTCACCTCTTTTTACCTCACTCACATGCCATAACCACCATTACATGCTGCAGCAGCAATAAGCTTTGCCTAAATAAAACCTGACCCCTCAGCCCTGCTCTATTCAATTGCTATCTGGAGACCCTGTTATTAATCTTGACTGTGTGCTAGAATGAACAGAGTTAATCTATATACAATTATGAGGATGTGTAATGCCACCACTGAAACCCATTTCTGGAAAACAGAAACAGTGAGTGTTTCTATGTTCACTTTTCCTTTCCTTCAGGCATTAGACTTTCCTTGGAAGGAAGGGCCTGTGATGTCACTTGCATATAATTTCTCTCCTCCCCATTTCTTCTCAGTTTCCCACTCCTATACCTTAGAGTCACTTCCCAAAACAAACTATAAATATACCAGTTGATGACTCAGGCTCTACTTTCTAGCAAAAAATATTTTCATAAGAACTTAACATTGGCTATTATAGGAGAGAAATAAAATGAGAATAAAGGAATTGTTTCTTTTCAGGTTTGAAAATGCTATGTCTTCTAAGGTGTCAAGTGTGTACTAAGTATTCTATGTTCATTGTGAGATTGCATCTCTCCACATAAACTGAAATACATATTCTGACTTCCATTCTACGATGAGGAAATTGAGTCATAAAGAAGACTCCAACTTGCCCCAGTTTTGTAACTTATGAGTAAATAACTTAAAATTCATCTCCAGATCACTTAGAAACCCAAGTTCTCAAGCATTCTACTCTATGATATTAGCCCATGTTTACCCCAAATCCATAAAAGGATTTGGAATATATACATATATATAAAGACTTTTTAAGAATGATTTGATAACAGTACTAAAAGATCAGCGATAATCCAGTCCATCATTATAGCCATGTTTAAAGTTACATCAGTTCCCTAAAGTGAAGTGGATATATAATATTAAAATAGTTTGTTGTTTTTTTTTTTTTTCCTGCTGAAGATCTATGAGTTTGATGACTTGCAATTTATGGAAACCATTATACAGAAAAACATGATTATATGCCTGGAAATAGATTTCCTTGGTCTAGTATTATGTGAAAAGCATTCCAGTTCATTCTAAAAGACATCGAAAGCATTGTGTTGATTAAAGCATCTTAGGATTGTAAACATAAAAACAAAAAAATTCACCTAATCTTCAAATACTGCAAATCCAAAGGCACATTGCAACATTTAGAGTCACAGCTAGTCTCCACAATCCTGTGTGCAATTTGACTTAGGAAAATTACATTGCCTCTCACTTTTCTATTACTGTGGCAATAGAGTTTGTTTACCAGTGATCAGATCCATGAATACTTCTATTTTGTGATATTTCAGCAGCTTTGGGGAAGAGAATCTGTGAATTCAAAAGCCCTTTCTCATCAAAGAGAAAGAAGACAGAATTAAAGAAGAAAATTTATAGCAAAAGTACAACTTTGATCACTTTTATATTAGACTTCCAATTAAATTAAAAATAGCCTAATACAAGCATCACTGACTTGATGCAATAGCTATGTTACAAGAGAAGTCTGCTGATTACCACAAGGCTTCCTTTCTTATCAGGCTTAGTACTATTTTAACTAAATAATCTTTGACATGAGTGAAAGTACAAAATTCCACCTATAACATTATAGAAATGGACCTCACATTTTTTAACACCTGTACTTTTTACCACTTATTTCTAACTAATTCTCAAAGCAAAGCTACAGTATTAGAGACATCATTATTTTCTAATGAAGAAATCAAGATTTGAAAAAGCTAAACAATTTCCAACAGTGTCCCATATGCATGTGAATGAACAGGGTTGGAATCCAGATCATGAGGATCTCAGGACCTCTGATTTGATAATCATGCAGCCACTTTTTAACTGGTGGTTTCAACTTTCAAGTCCCTCTCTATTGGTTGCTGTTATTAAGTATGCATCTAGCTTCAAGTAACTGAATGCAACTTTGAAGTGTCTTAAATACTGTGACATTATATGTGGAAGCTTTGAACATCACCAGAGAATTTCTTAAGAAACCAGAATCTTAGGAACAAAATGGCCCTTCTAAGGAAGAATGCGATTGTTAGCAATCTCCCTGAGTAGTTTGTATGCACGATAAAATATGAAAAGTGGCCCTCCCTGGTGGCGCAGCGCGTTAAAGCACTGCACTGAGAATCTAAAGCCGCTTCCGCATGAGTCGGAGGTGACCACATGGTGTGGCAGACCTCTCCTGACCCGCCCGCTGCTCCCCTCAGCATTGTACTTCGTTGATCTGCCTGTTCTGTTCCCCACTCTGTCTCTGGTGAAGCCTCTCACCGCCCCTGAGCCTCTGGCCTGTACCCCAGTTCTGTATGCACAAATAAATAAATCTTTAAAAAATATATATGAAAAGTGCCAGATTAAATGACAAGAGCTTTCATCAACTCACATCCCATGGGTCTTTAAGGGCAGCTGATTAAGTCAATGAGAGAATCCAATCTCAGGCTCGTCCCACCTTTCCACTTCTGTTATTTGTCTCCCTCTTCAGACAAGTGGGGCTTTCCCAAGTCAATGGACACTTTCACAATAAGTGAAATGTCTATTATGGACATATTCACCATCCTTGGACTTACACAATGTCCAAGGATAGATAAGCTAGGGTGTCATGACTTTTTTTTTAATCTGGAAAGAAAATTCTCTATAGAAGTTTTAGGAATTCTCCTCTAGTCCCTTTTGCCCAGACATTGGTTACTAGTCTTGACCCTAGGAGGCTGGTAAATGGCAAATCTGAAATTACAATTTTCTTAGGCTACAAGAAGAATGGTAGGAAAGTGGGTATATGGCACAGAAGAGAGAGGTAAACCTCACCCAGGACCATGGGATAGGATCCTTCATTCTTGAATTTCAGTTTAAGCCTAGCTCAAGACATTGATCAATGAAGGGCTGGGTGTTTGCATTTGAAGGTGTGTCAGTTTTCCTCCCAGAAGATAGTCAACATCTGCTGCACCCTCTGTTCCTGAGAGTTAGTACCCTCTTTCCTAGAAACATCTTCTCTTTTCATCTCTGCTCTTCATCACTGACACATTCTCTAGTGCAGGCAAGCAGTTCTGAAATTTGATTGCTGTGCTAGCAGTCCCACTTTGCAGGTTTTATTTGCTCTAACACGATTTATGATGCCTTGATTATCTCCGTATGCCCTGAATTGCTAGTCACACCATTAATTCTCCTGATTGATGGATTACATAAGGCATATTCCATGGAATAAGAAAAAGGCCTGACAAGGATACAGGTAAAGCAGCTTTCCCATTCATATGCACTTTTAATGGGTGTAATTCTCATTACACTCCAACTCTATCCCTTTAGGACACCATGTGTGACTTTTAATGATCTGTATGGTGTAATTGGATTTTGAGCCTTTGGGGAGAACAAATTATAAATTCTCTTGCCCACAAAAATGGAAGTTTTCAACTTCAAAGTTGGCTTCAAATCTTGCAATAACTCAAAGATATATTTGTGCTTACCATGTGCCAGGAATTACACTGTTTGATACAGCATTAGAAAGCTTTTTTTTTTATTGCTTAATCTAATTAGCATGCCTAATGTATAAATGGATATTTTAGTTCAAATGTTGTAGCTGAGTCATCATTTTATACAATGTATCATGTTTTGATTTTCATTGAGTCATTTATAATGCTCCCCTTATTGCCTGTGTTATTCCCTTGGACCCACTCTCTTTGAATAAATATACCATAATGAGTCAGTACTTGTTATATCCAATGGCTCCACGGTCCACTGTCATAATGAAGACAGCAGTTTGCATGAGGCTTCCTATCCCATTCTCAATTTTAGGGGAAAATTCTAGTAAAGTTCTGACATTTTCTATTATTTCTCAATCAAAGTCACCTATAGTGAGATTGAAAATATATTTAGTTTTGTCTCATTTGATTTTCTAATGCGCTTTTGCTTTATTTTAATGGAAGAAAAAATTATTTCTGTAAAAAGATAAATATCTCCATCAAAAATAATAAAATATAATACATAAAATATAATAAGTAGATATAACAAATAATATAACCTACTACCCTAGCCCATGTGTTGCTTTTGGGTCTCGGTTGAGTCCCTACTCAGGGTGGACCCTAAACCAGGTCTTTCCTTA